CATCTTGATGGGGGTCACACTTTAATTTAAAGAAGCACTATTGCTTTTTAAAGTCTTCAGTGATATACATCACCGAACATCGTCCTACATATTCAGGGCGTCTGCTGAAGAGTTACAAGGCAGTTTTTTGGGTTTGGGGGAGGCAGGTTGGGTTAGTTGTTTCCTTCCTGCCTAGGGAGGATGGGCTTTCCCCATTGACTACTTAGGAAATGTCCCTTCATGCCTTCTCCTTTTGGAGCTGGCCTTCCTCAGCGGTTTTCTGAAAAGCAGAAGTGCTAGCGAGAAGGATTGCCTTTCATCGCTGCCCAGGATGGTCGTGCCTGGCTCCCTTTGGGAAGGTCCCTGCTCCTTGAGGAGCCAAGGAAGTCTTAACTTGAGCTTTGAAGTGGAAGGCTTCGATAATTAATAGCTTTCTACAGCTTCCAGTGTTTACCCTAGTCCATTCCCAAACAGTAATCCTGACAGCTCCAGGGAGCGGAGCCTTCTCTATTTCTCTCTATTTGGGAACAAACACAGAAGCGGGTATTTTCTGATGGCTGGGAAGCACCACAGTTAGTGCCGGCCCCGTACTCGAGGAGTCTGAAATTTCTTCACTGTGCCTGTCTCCGTGCCAGCCTGTGCTGTCCAGAGCTAAAAGGAAAGCACGACGGGCAGTGGCTGCTTGCTGCCTGCGTGCCCTGAGAGTTACCCTGCTGGATAGCGGGTAAAATTAACCTGGGAAACAAACTTCCAACACATTTTGCTTTTTCTGGCAAGTACTTTGGAGAAAGGAGTGAAAAGCAGTTAAGAGGATGGCAGAGTACCTGTAAATGACAGCTGAGAAAGCCTCAACCCACCACGGACGTTAGGTCAGGTCTTTCTCCGTCCTGCCTCCTCCTTGTTTGCAAGCACCATGGTAGCAATTGCCACCAGAGAAACACAGTCAGCTCCAAGATATGCAGAGTCCTCTTAGCCAGCTGAGAAGAGACAGGCAAAGCAGAACCCAGCTATAAGCCCCAAATGCCTCTATATGTCCGTGGGAATTGTTACTGTGCTAATCTACCGATTACACAATAAATAGTGCCTCTTTAAATTAAACATCCAAATGTTTTGCATTCTTCGTAAGTTAAAATTTCATAGAGATTACAATTGGAAGTTAAGTACTCTCCTTACTTTAGGTAAAGATTATATAGTCTGCGTAAGAATAAAGCTTTATAAGTATCTTAAGGTGCAGTATGGAAGTCAATCCTGAGAGTTCCTTGAGAACTGTGCTAAAAATGCACATGGATTTCAAATCAAAAAATACAATTCATAACTAAGCAGTGAAGTATAGAGAAATGTAGAATAGTTATTTACTACAGTACATCCAAGAAAGTGATCGTTTATAAAATGATGCATATTTAATAATTTGCTAAAGAAAGTTATCATTGTTGTCTAAATTACGAATAATGTGTAAGATTTCAGAAATTGCTATTTTAAATTGTACTACTACTGAGCCTTAGTAGTCCATGGGCATGTTCCAGAACTGTATCTATAATAAAATAAAACCAAAATACAATAATCGGTAAGAGGCAAATATATCATGATGTGTATAGTACAGTGTGCATTTTCAAAGGAAGTGTTTGTTCAAAGAAATAACAAGCCTCACATGTTATTTTCACCTGTTATTTAAGTATCAGAAGCTCAGTCTGGATCTTTTAAATTAACAGCAATGCCTACCACAAGTACAATTGCTGTTTTCGTAAAGATCAAGCAGAGTCTTGTCTGATGTAAATGGATTTCTGGATTTCACAGCTTTTAAGGAGCTTTTAAGGAGCTTTACGTACTTCTCCACTTAGTGGAAGTAATGCTTTACAGTAAGCAAGCAATGACATCCTGATATGTTGGCAATATACTTACAATAATATTTTTTATGCTGACCAGGAAAATTAGGCACTTAAAATATATTTTATAGATCCAGATAGGTCAAGTTTTGTGAGAAGTATGTAAACAACTGTCATTGTTATTTATTTCTATTTCCAGTGTTTTAACGTGTAGCTTGTGCTCCGGGGGGTCTGGTTTCCGGGCTTAACTGTGTCGCTTCTGTTTTCCCAGGACAAGACGAGTGCCTTGAGTCTCAGCAACGTTGCTGGAGTCTTCTACATTCTGGTTGGAGGCTTGGGCTTGGCAATGCTGGTGGCTTTGATAGAGTTCTGTTACAAGTCCAGGGCAGAGGCGAAACGAATGAAGGTGGCAAAGAGTGCACAGACTTTTAACCCAACTTCCTCGCAGAATACCCAGAATTTAGCAACTTATAGAGAAGGTTACAACGTATATGGAACCGAAAGTATTAAAATTTAGGGGTAGGACTTAGGGCCTACTACAGTGAGTGGGTGATGCATCTTGTAACGCAGTGTTGTGACATGTCTGTCTAGTGGTGCTTGCTTCTGAACAGAGCTTTATATTTTGGAAAACTTCAGTGCGAAGTGGTTCAGTTTTTTTGGCTGCAGATGTACAGTATACTATTCTATGTTGCTAATAGACATCTGCATTGCAAGGAATTTTTAACATAAAAAATACATCTTTAACAACTCAATGTTGTCAAATCAGTTGGGAGATGACAACTATTTGAAATCATAAAATATATATTCAGAGGGCCAGTGTTTAATTACTTGATTGGCCAGTCTATTTTCCTAAAGACTTGCACTCTACTAGTAACAAATTGCTGTAAGCCTTTATTATTCGATGTTGTCCCTAACTGGGACTTTGTTATAATCGATATTTAGGATAGGCAACATCACTGAACCATAGTTAACCTAACGGAAGACAAGGCACTGTTACAAGAAGTCTAAATGTTGTTTTACCTTCCCTCCCTCCTCCCCACCCTATTCCTTCACCCTCCCTTTGATACATGTTTTATGCTAATTGTGTGGCATTTTTTTCACAATATCCTGCTTCAGGTCAACCTTTGCCCACTATAGTAACCACAAAAAGTCACTAACCAGTGAATAGACATTGATTATCGTCCTTGGCTTTCAGGAACATACCCCCTTACCTAGCTCAGGACTAGTGTATTTTAGGTGTTCGCACAGCGGTTTCGGAGACTGAACTGCTGACGTTGCCGAGCTGCATCCTGCGCAGTTCCCCTGAGTGGGCATGCGGGGATGGTTTACTAATGTACTTGTTCTCATCCGTGCAGTGAGTATCTTGCCAACTAATCATTAGTCAAATCAACTCTCTGACCTTTGGAAATGGCACGTAGCAGCAAATTGAGCTTCTAAATATAACTTTTGCATAGCTCCCAAGCTATACTGGCTGCTTTATAAGTGAAGGTGCGGCTAGGACCCTACCTTTTCTTGCTACCTAGAGCTGCCTTGCACTTGCAAATAGCAAGCCACATGTCCCCTCTGTTAACAAAAAGCTTGAGCTACATTTTTCCTGAAATCGCTGAGCCATCCCTATCGTGGAAGTAAGAAACAAAAATTTAGGGAAAGGAGATGAAGAATATAATTTTTATGTTGCCACCTAGAAAAATTTTTGGAGGAAACAACTGGAGATACAATTATTATTTTTTATTTATTATTTATATAGCGCTGGAGTACACGGCGCTGTACAATAGGTGAAGTGTGCCAAACACATAACAGGTCCCTGTCCCGAGGAGCTTACAGTCTAACGGCACAGCCGGTACAATACCGAACCATACAGTACAGAGCAAACACAGAGTGAGCAGAGAATGGTGTTTGAGCATGATAGCTGGAGCGCTGCAAGGAATAGGTGGGTTCTCAGGGGGCAAGGGAGGGGGCTTGGCGTACGCTGGCTGGGAAACTATCCCAAACATACTGTCGCTGTGTAGTTTTCTTTTGTCCCCTGTTGTACAAGAAGTCATGACTCTGGGTATATTTTAATTGTAACAGAGCTGCCTAATTTCCCCATGTAAAAAAAAAACAGTCTTAGCTGTGCACTTTATTCACTACTGAAAATGTGAGGTATCAGGGGGACTCCAAGAGTATAGGCCAGTGTTCATTACTGTGAACTGGGAATCAGGACTTCCAGATGCTGATGTTAGTGTCCCAAGTTCACTGCCTACTGTCAGTAATAAGGGTCTTAAAAAGAAATAATCCTGTTCAAGTAATCGTGCAAAATGCAAATTAAGAGATCTTTTCCCTTTAAATTCTTTAGCGATGTGCCCACAACGGAGTGCCCCCAGGCTGGTATAAAAGTAAGAGTCCCAGAAAACATATTCCTTATTACGTTTACAGGGTGCAATGCATCCAAAACATGGTCTTAAAGAAAGCAAACAAAAAACCAAAGCTTTCATTCAAATACTGACCTGACCCAAACTGGCTTAGCATGCTAAACATGGCATGACTTGACAATCCCCTGAGTCCCCACCCAGCTCTGTGATTCCAGTGCAACAGACTGATTATACTTGTAGAGTTTATCTTAGTCTTACTGTTTTCTTGAAATAAAAATTAGGGCTGACTGAGTTTTATTTTTTAAGGAAAGATTGTAAGTACCTTTCTCTAAAGTTTGGATTTTTCTGGGACTTACTGCACACACAGATGAATTCTTACAGGAAAAAAATAGATTAAAAATGCCCACGTTGCATTTTATTTTATTGAAAATTCATGTTTGGGTCAGTCAAAACTTCTGATAATCTCTTAAAAACATTTTAGGGTGCAGACATTTAAAAATTCACAAAAAATTGGAAATAACTAGAATTTCGAGCAAATATAGACTTCTGAAATTCTTCATTCTACTTATTTGCCGTAGTATTTACCTGAGAAATTTCAGCATGTGAACATCTTATAAAAACACTTATGCTTATATGTGGGAGACTGCCAAGGTCCAGTCATCCTCTCCCGGCAATTCTTGGCCATCCCTAGCCACAGAGGCAGCCAGGGGTTACCTGTGTGCCGTGCTCTGTACAGGGTGACTATGCCATCTCTCCGTACACATGCTAGTCCTAAACCCCTCTTAGCAGTACAGAGCCCACAACACTGGTTACACATTTTTCTGCAGACATATGTCTGTCTTAGGCATTTTGAAACCTTTGATGTGTTTATTTATCCAAGGAGTAAAGGGATCGTATTGGGACTAAAACTTGCTAATATGGAAAGATGCTTGGCGGTTCTAACCTGCATGAGTAACCAACACGCTGACTTTTTAAGCTAGCATCAAGTAGTTTTAATAGCATATGTTTTAAACTAATATAAAATAGCTTAAATAACCCACTTGACAATTAATATTCATTACCATGTTTTTTCTTTTAGTTTAATCCAGTCAAAAGTGAGTGAAGCCTCAGGGAAATTCACCTACCTGTGAGGCAGCAGAAAATGGAAGTGTAGGACTAGTCTGTATGCATGGACTGGTCTATATGGTAAAGGACAACTCTGTATGTGTGGGATAAAGACATTCAGAAGGGATGACAGGCTATTGCATCTGCCAAAGGCAGGGAAGGAAGTTCGTTTTAAGGAGGGAACAATCCCTTCCTCTTCCCCTGGGCAGCAGTTTTCCATGTTTGTGTATCAGTAGCAAGCCCTTAGTGCAGTGGTTGAGCTGATGCCGTGAGAACAGCGCAGAGCCTAGCAGCCTTCTCTCCAGCTGCTGGAGGGAAAAGCCCTGCTGAATTCCTCACCCCAAACCCACAGGCTTTCGAAGGGATTGCCCAGTATCCAGCCAGCCACCACCGCCGCCTCTCCATGGCCTTCTCAGTGGGCCATAAAGCTTATGAACCAGCTTCCAGTTCAGCTGCCTTCTCTTGCTCTCCCATCCCATGCTGATATTTATAATTAGCAAAATTAATTACAAAACTACAAAAAGCAATGAAAAAATTATGACATTAATTTCAAAAAATGTGAAGTGCTACAGGATGGCTCAGTAAATGTGTAATGCACTTATTTTAACTTGTATACTTCCAACTTCATATTCAAGATAGAAAAATTCATTAAAAGTTCATCTTAAATATTTGTGCTAAAGACACTCCATGAGACCCTGATATTGGAGGAGCCTGAACAACAAAAGAACCCACACAGGCTAGGATATTTGTATTATATAGACTGAGGATATCAGTTTCCTAAATTCCCATTTCCCAACAGGAACAGGGCAGTCAGTGTTTTCATGTGTTTAATTCCACAACTAATTTAATCAAAACTAATGACAAATTTGAAAATACATTATCATTATTAATTGCATACACTTACTGCACAGAGACTTCCACAATTTGGGTAATATTCACAGTAAAAACCAAGACTTTTCCCTCTCATCCCAGCCTCTCCTGAAACTGTTTCTGCAGCCAGGCCATAAATCTGAAATTGTAACAGCACAGTTAAGCAGAGTATTAGCCTGGCTTATTACCTATAGCATAGTTTAAAATTAACACAGAAGCTTACCTGGTTACTTGGCTTTATGGCACCTTCCCAAGTACAAGTTTGACCTGCTCCTCCTGGCTTTGTTAACTGTCTGGGTTGTTTCTGTGGTGCGTTGCTGAGTTGTTGTTAACCTCTGCCATGAGAAGAGACGAGTTGTTTTATTGCAGCTTTTTCTGTTATTCTGTGGAAGGCTGCTGAGAAATTGTTTGTTATTCTCATTTGATTTTTTTTTTTTTTTGGTGGATCCCTTTTTACTGTCTTTCTGTCCTGAGTGTGTTGTCAATGGCCAGAAAGCTATATAGACTGAGCTACAACACCACAGTTACACATAACTCATATATCCCATAGAAATCTGAGTTCTCTCAGATGGCCTGAATGGCCATGAACAGATAGCTGATCAAAGTGATGGAGAGATGCTGGTACGTAATGATGACTTTCTGGGAAGTTTAGCACATCTGGAGTAAGCAGTCCTTTTCCACCGAGGTTTGCATTCTCATCTGGTTTGGACTCTCATCCCTCCCCAAAACTAAAGCACCTTTGCTTTTTCTTGCCATTGACCAAAACATGTTCTGTGTATTTCTGCAGGCAGTTACCAGTCCTCGACATCCATTTGCAATGGGACTCTGGACGTGCACTATGTGGAGCTGCACCACATTGCATTGTGTCTGTGCTTTGCAAATGCATAGATTTTTATTTGCTGCCGGAGAGTAGTTGAGGTTTTTGGTACTGTGTGGGCCCAGGTCCCCACTCCCTCATTGCCTCTCTCTCTCTTTTTATATCTAGCTGTTGAATTAGGTCAAGATATGTTTGGTAACAGACCCTGTCACAGAGTACTGTGGCAGCAGGGAAACCTTTCAAAGGGTGACTTTGGACATTGCAACTGATGATTATCAAAGCCAAGGTTTGCGTAAGGGGAATGCCATAACGCCCTCTGTAAGCTGAGGCCTTTTCCTGAATTCGGCTGCTTGTGAGGGCTGAGGTTTTTAGGGTAATTGATTTGGACAGTTGCTTTTGTATCCAAGCTCCAGCTGTGCCACAACAGCAGCTGTACTTTGGAGAACTCTTTTTTGAAGGAGCTACTGATAGCAATGCAATATTAGACTTGTGCATTTTCGTAGAAGTGCACCCAGAAGCAGTGGAAACATTTGGGATTTTTAAGGAATCTCCCTCATCCCTATACACACACACTCATATATAAAACTAACTTAGAATATCAAACACCAGCTCAGGATTTCACTGCTACCTCAGAAGGAGAAATCGGGCTCAGAGGGACAAAGTTCTAAATGCAGAGATCAGTAATAAGGCAAATAAAATGATTTTATGATGTTTGTCATCCCTTTGCTCCTGTGTGAATGCACCCTCCTGTCTCGCTTTTTCCAATTGGTATTTCAGATTGCATCCCTGCACACCAATTACACGAGTTAGTTGTGCAGACTATAGCTTCTGCTGACTAGAAATCAGGTTTCCCCACTAATTGATATCTTAACATGGTACCTTTGAAATCTGTTTCAATGTAGCGTAGTTTGGGTGCCTGTTGTTCCAGGTGTCCTTGCTGCATTGGTTGACCTTAGACACCTCCCCTAATTTTAGTCATCTGTAAATCATTTAGTCTAAACTAGTCATCTTGGCTTTTTCTATCATCGCATGAGAGGGCTCTTTTAGATTAGGTTACTGATTTTTGGATGACTAAAGTTAGATGGTATAACTACAAATCTTTTTTTTTTTTTTAACAAAACCAAATTTTTTGCTTGAGTCAATTAGTCTCTAAACAAGATATTTTGTTCTGATTTACCTGAAAGTAAAGATTTTGAGGTAACAAAAATTTAAACCTTCTTGTGGAAAATTTAGACCTAATGTAGAAAACTATAGAAAATTGTATTTTCTCACAATAAACTACATTTCCTTTGAAAGTTCCCACCTGCTCTAATTGTAGGAAAATATATATATGAAAAGAGATTTGAGGACAGTTCTCAGATTTACTGTTACTAAATATGTGCATTGTGAAAAGACGTAGTAATTTCTTTAGATTTGATCCACGGAATTATCACAAAGATAGCTGATACGGCTATTGCAATTTATAAACAAATTTCAGTAGTTATATTTTATCTTGACATTCCTAGTTGAAGTTCTAAGCCTATAAATACCTGTGCATGACTTTATTCATAGATGCTAATGCTTTCAGGTTCATAAAAGGTCTTGATTCTCATTTCACTGTATATAAATGTAGTTTGAAGCAGTTTAGATGAAGGTATTGCCTCTTCTCTTAATTTCTTGATCAAATTCAGACTTTATATTTAAATCAATAATGATTTATTGTAATGAAATTTACCCTCAGAATTGCTAGTCTTTTTTCCCCTAGTAGACTTAAATGCTATGTATTATAATTATGATGATTACTATTATTATATTTAATGTTAACATGAAAAAATGCAGATGTCTAAAATTTAATATTTTGGTGTTTGCTGTGTCCTGGTTTGTTGAAGGACAGAAACATTGTAACACTTTCCTCTTTTCTCCTTTTTTTTCAAACCTAGCTTACCTTTTCTGAAGCCATAAGAAACAAAGCCAGATTATCCATCACAGGGAGTGTGGGAGAAAACGGACGCGTATTGACTCCCGACTGCCCGAAGGCCGTGCATACTGGAACTGCAATTAGACAAAGTTCAGGATTGGCTGTAATTGCATCGGACCTACCATAAAAACCAAAAAAATAATCGAGTGCCTTAATCAAACTGTGTTGGTGACTGATGGGAACACAGCACAGACTGTAACGACATGGGAGTGTCATTGATGAACTAATAATTTGGCTGAGAAAGGGAAGTACGTCCAAATGCGCCAGACATCATCAGCAACAATGTGTGCATGAGCTCAGCTCGGAAACCCAAACTCAGATTTTATATCAGGAAAATTCATAATTTAGTTTTTGGGGGAGGGGGCTGGGAAGGGTGTATTAACAGCAACAAATTTCACTTGAGTGGACTTAAAACTAATAAGACTTGACAATTTAGCGCATTAAACTGTGAAGAACATGCTCAGAAAGGACAACATTTTGGTGTTTGTCTTGACAAAGAGAGAAAAATAGCTATAGAAGTCAATGAACATGCTAACCTGTGTCTCCAGAACATCAATATATACAATGGAAGAATACTCAGCTGTTCAGCTGTAGAAATGAATCACTAAACTGTGATAAGAAAATAATAAATATGTAAATCCTGTGAAAAAATAAAGAAATTATTTACATTTTCTTTGAAAAAAGAGGAATATTGAAACATGCTTGCTTTTTAACTGATGTAAATTCGGTAGAGGACAACACAATTCTTTTTTCTAACCATCTTAGGGAACAATTCATTGCAATAATTGATATAAAACGCCATCACTGTAATAAAATTCAGAGACTTTTTTTTTATAAAAGTTGTTGGTCATCCTCTTGTTTCCTGTTACCTTCATTCTGTTCCATCATTCCATGTTCCACAGATTTGCATCTGTCTAATACAAGAAACAAAATGATAAAATGTTTAGAGTACGTCATCAGTCTGCAGTGTAGAGTCAGAAGAGACTACGGGTCACTCATGTTACAGATATTATTTATAATCTTGTTCTGTGTAAGATACTGTGGTTTTTGTACCCACCAAAAAGAATAAAACAACAAACGTTCTTATAATATCGACAGAGCTTGAGTTGTTTTCTGATCATTAGGGATGTCACCTGAAAAATAGAATAAGGTGGTTCGTTTCTTACCACAGAATGCAGGACCTTATCGGAGACAGTCTGAGTCCCTGCACATTTGTGAAGTGCTTTTAAGTCCTTAGAGAGGAGGGACTTGAAGTATTGCCGTGATTATCCACTAGGTATTTTAGTACTAGTCACTAAAACCCTTTCTGAGAGGTTAGGGAACCATTTAGTGATAGGGTTTGTTCTCTGGGTAGGTCAAGGGATGAGATACCAGGGAGCAGGAAAGTACAAATTACAGTCTTTCAGAATGATGTGATCGATACAACATCTTGGTACCCAGCAACCTCGGTTTTCATCAGTCAGCCTTTCAGTGGCATGACAGGGAAAGGCTAGCAGGCACTGTTTGAATAAAAGCCAAATGTCAACAGGAGCAGGCATGTCTGTAGGTGCAAAGTTGTAGCAGGTGTCTTCTGCGATGGTCAGTCTCCTTGGCCACACTAGACACTGCAGTGGTCTCCAAATCCAGAGTACTACCACCAGTGTAACAGCTCCATGCCAGAGCCCAGACCGCAAATCAGACCAAACTTGGATTAATCATAGCTTCTAATGCCCTCGTGATTTCACCAGGCCCATGAGGGGTCATGTTCAGATGGCTCACATTTCACCAAAGCCTCCATGGCTGGTGCTTCTCTCAGCCCCTGGGGCTCCAGGCCCTCACCAAATGGAGTGTGGGCTCAGGGTGGAGCCAAACAATGACCAACCCTCAACAAATGCAGCAAAGGACAACCAAACAAAAGCACTACTGAGGTGATATCCTATGTGATACAGACATCTACGAAGTAGCAAAGCAGGTGTTAGCTTCAGTTGAGGTATCGACAATATAGATATGAATTTCTTACTCCAGACACCCTTTATACTCTAGACACCCTTTGTAGTTACTGGAGGGAAATAATGAATAAGAGTGAATGACTTTATCTTAAAGTAGACATTAAAACATCAAACTGCTGAATCACAGAAGCAGAGCCTATATCTTTCCACTGACTATAATCTAGGCTGAGGGCGACCGGTTCTTATACAGAGCTTGACAGTGCAGGCAAAGGTGAAAATAAGATGATGCTTACCCCTAAGGCACAATGACTACAAAGTGTGCAGAGAAAAAGACACATAACACTACAATGAATCACTGTGACTAAACTTACTTTATATCCTTGGTTTACTGGCATGTTTAGCTCATTCATGAGTTACTGTGATATGTTTGTGTTTCTGTGGCCAGAATGGCGAGTTGTCTGTTTTTTCTCCTGTTTGAGTAAAGCTGGGAGCTCCCTCTCAGACTTCTTTTTACAGCTGAATTTAAAAAGCAACTTTCAGGGTTTTTGGTTTTTGTTTTTGTTTTTGTTTAAAGAAAAAAAGAGTGTTTGTCTTCATTTTTCATAGAGTAACATATTAGAGGCTGAACAGATTGGGAGTCTGAGCGTGAAGAATGCTATCTGTTTTGTTCTACGGTGTATGTCTGTTTTTCCAGGAGCTCGTCTTCATCCTTTCCTCGTTCAGGACTGTGAGCAGTGCCAGTGCTGTCCTGGGATATTTTACTGTCTTCCAGTGTTACTCCTCTTACATGCTGCCCTGTCTCTTTAATGCATTACATTTATTTTTCACCTTCAGTAAACAGCCCATCACTGCAGTTAGGAATGTCACTCCATGGACCCCATTCTTCATTGTCTAAGTCAGGTTTTCACTTGGCAACGAGGCCCCCAAGTCCCTTGAGATGTCTTGTCCAGTGCCGGTAACTATCGAGGATCCCCACCGAGAGGATTCACAGTCGAGCAGCATGAGCAATGCAACCGCCGAGCAGCGTGGCCATGGAGTGGCGTGACCCACCAAGGGCATCCGGCCAGCAGCCCAGGGGGGGAATCGCCGCATCCTCTCACCACTTCCAAGCCTCGTCCTTGGCAAGGGAACGCTTTGCTCCAAGAAAACTTGGTCAGATGAGGTGAAGAAGAGACTGTGACTTTGCTTGATGCCTGTCATAAAATACCACAGATATAAAATTTAAAAAAAAAAAAGAAAACTAGATGCAAAAATGCCACAGCAGAGAGAGTTGACTAGAATTCAGGTGATTGAGAAAGCAATCTCAGGGCATCCGTCTGCTCTCTCCACAGCAGCTTACTCTGTTGTCTTATTCCAAGGGGGTAACCACTGCCTGACTATGACCATCTTCACATATCTATCTTAGCTGCCCCTCAGACACTTCTTCTTTTGCCTTTCCCTCTTCTCCTGAAATACCCATTTCTCGCTCCTCTCTATATCTTCGCCCCGTCCTTTTGAAGATCAGTGCGAGAAGTCACCCTCCTCCCTTGTGCGGGAAATATGACCCAAAGGAGGAGAACTCTTCCTCAGGTCAGGTTCATTTTTTTTCCAGTCCTCCAGAGGGGCTGAGGCTCTGTCATTAGATCAGGGCTGCTCCAAGGCGCTGAGAAGCAGCAGTGCAGCTCCTGGCAGCTGCGGGGCTGCATCCCGCCCTCCCGGCACAGCAGTCTCAGCTCTCCTCCATCCCCCCGCCTTGCTCTTTCTTCGGCCACCTCCATCTAGCAGCTTCATGGCAATCACTGGCTCAAAGGGAGAAAAAATAAACAATTGAAGCTACTGATTAAAGGGGACTTAATATTGAGGCATTAACTCAAATATCGTCCACATTTTTCCAAGATTTTGCCCTCAAAAAGAATACAGACAACAGAACCTGACCCATTTTCCTTCACATAGGATCTGACGCCACTTGGGATGCCCCAGGCCATGCTGCCTGGCCTCCAGCTACAGGTCCAAAAAGTGCCCTATCAACCTTGAGTCCTACCTGCCAGTTCCAAAGGTATCTCAATCACCATGGAGAATCAGAAAGAGGACAGGATAGCCACATGGGGGCAAATGAATTGAGTCTAATCAAAAGAATGATTTTGATCAACTGAAGGCTCATTTCTGCTGCATAAACCTAGGCATTTACAGTCACTAGAAATGCCTTTAAGTATCCAACCTGGCCTCCTAGTGCCAGTCCATAAAAGCATGAGTCTCCTGTAGATCCTGGGTCAGACAAAAGAGCCCCATGCAGATGTCTTAGATGGCCTAAGGCGTCTCAAATGGACCAGGTACCTGAGCAGAGGAACTGAATTGTGTCCTATAGTCTGTTCAGCTGTTCAGTTGTTTTCAAGCCTCCATACTCCATTGACTAGGTCACCATGGAGTATGAAAAGGTCTTAGACACATAGTTTTCCTATAGATATCTACATTTAGCTATCTTAATCTTGAACTGAATGCTATATGTATTTACCTGCCTCTAAAATAATTTCAGTTTTGATGTAATCAAGTGCAACTATTAACAATACTTACAACAATACTAGACTTCTCTGCAGAATAAGTGTCCTCTGAGCTGGTGTGAATCATACTGTAGGACAAGCCTCCTTTCGTGTTCACTCTTATATTAGTTGGTTTTCATTCTACACATTCAAACCTCCCACTCTGGTGGTGTATTCTATTAAACACCTATTAAATTCAAAATCAGTACAGACTTGCTGGGTTATCTGAGGACCTCACATGCAAAATTAGTCTTACACAACCACTTGTTATTGCTGAATTTCACCTAGAGACTATCCTGGGAGCTGAATGCACGTGTTCTGAGTTGAATTTGCCTCAGTACAATTGAAAACAGCCTGGGGAAAGCAGTACAGCTTTATACAACTGGTTGTAATCATTGTGTGAGGTGAAGGAAGAGAGTGGTACCTGTTCACCTCTGTTCCTTCGTAATTCTGTACTGGCTTCTGACAGGATGTCAGAATGAAGAGCAAATATTCTTTAATTTGGTGTAGAAACTCCAGTGTTTTTCTGCCATCTCTCTGCCAAAGTGTAAGCAGACCTTCATCCATGACTAGGCAATTAGAGCGGAAGGGAGATCCTAAAGCTCTCAGCTGGCAGAATGTACCTACTACACTGATGTCAAAACCAAGAAAAGAAGGGCAGCCTGCAAGGAGCTGCAGAGCTTTGTTGTAGACATGGATTAATTAACACCGTTACAACAAAATCTGTAATTGTCATGTGACAGCCAGTTAAACTTCAGCTGGAATGTGTAAGGGTAAGAAGTCACCAGTGGAATTATAAATAGAAATTTAGAGTCACTTCCTTTTCTAAATGAGAAGAGTGCCACAGATTCCAAAAAACTTATTGATTTCATAACAATTGCATGTAAGGTCAGGCAAGCTGAAACTAGTAAATAAGAATCATAGAATAACTTAGATTGGAAGGGACCTCTGGAGGTCATCTGCACCAAAATCTCATTTAAAGCAGGTTCAGCTTTGAAGTTAGATCCAACTTCAAAGTTTGAGAGGCTTCTCAGGGTTAGTCCTATCAAAATTTTAGTATCTCCAATGTTGACATTGCATAACCTCTTTGGGCAACCTCTTCCAAGTTCTGACCCTCAATATTTTCCTAAGTTCAAAATTTTCCTTAAAATTTTTTTTTGCTCTGCATTGAGAGCAGATTCAAATGCAGCAACACATATTCCAAGCTGCTTACTTAAATGCAAATGTGTATTTGTGTAACCAAGAATCTGGATGATCTGTTAGATTGACTAAGGCACGCTGTCACCATACTTCAGAGGAGCATGCACTGCTGGCAGCCTTTCCTTATGGCTAAAAAGAGGATTCACTTTCATAGCTCATCAATCCATCATCTTCCATTAGCACCAAGGAACCATACCCTGAATGTCTTTTTAAAGTGATATATCTCTAATAGGTCTAAAGATGTTCAACAAGGCTAAACTGTTAAAGTGGACTTTAAAGTGCTTTAAGATTAACTATATATTTTCCTATAGACTTTGAAAAAAATTCTATGACTTCTCAAGTTATTGTGTATTTTAGCTATTCCTGTAAGGATTCCAGTACTAAGACCCTGATTCTACCCAGCCTTATACCTGATACTAATTATTTAAATTTATGCAAAATTGATGTAAAAATGC